ACATAGCTTAAAAATCTTTAATTTTTAAATATATTTTTTATTATTATAACATAAATAGTAAATGAATATAAGAAAATAAAATGTTTATTTTATTTACCATTTATATTTTGATATTTTAATATATTAATATTTGAAATTATAATAAGTACAAATTTTTCGTGTTGTATAAATGAGCAATCATGTTGCTTTTTTAATAACGTGTTCTATTTCAATTAGAAAATGCACAGGAAATATACATATTACAATATATAACAACATATGCAACTGCGTAGCTAGCAATTATACAACAAAATAATATAATATATATATAAACGTATTTTTACTATTTTGAAATTATTGAAGAATATAATAACAGTCTAGTAATTGCAGATTAACAATCTGAAGATTAGTTTCGAATGATTAATAACCTGACAACATCAGGCCTGAAATATCATAACCTGAAAATATTTCGTAGTTATTCTTCCGGGAGATTGCGAAAATGGAACAGAAGTCAAATAAAAGTAAAACGCTGAAAGTCTTTCGCTATAGTTGCGAAAACGCGAATGAATTGCAAAGGTTACGCCGGAATCAAGAAATTTGTAAAATACGATCGGTTAGCACCGACTGTATTTGATTATATAATACTCGATGTAGACTCACTGGTTAATTAAAGTTTTTGTCAAAATCAGTAAAAGATCGATATAATATCCATAACAGACGTATACAGATAATATACAAAATTCAGACATTTTTCTCTGTGTATTGTCAATTGGATGACATGTCCTTAAAGGTCTCATGTCTGAAGTATATATTGTAAAATGTGCAGATTAATGATATTGAAGAAATTGTTTGACCAATTGTTGCCTCTGTGCCCATCACATACCATGGGCACAACACAATGCATTAGTTTGTATATGTTACATCACGCTTGGTTACCTGGATATATGTGAAGTATATGTGTGTATTGAAGATCCGTTATGCATTTATAGAAAAGACTCACATGAGACACTCATCATGCATAGG